CTCGCCCGACATATGATGCAGTTTTCTCGTGTCGAACGACGGCTGTGTTTCATGGTGGTCCGGATCAACATTCCGCCCCTTTTTACGCTAGGATAATGCCTTTGTTTGATGCCAGTGGCATTCCTCTTTGCAGCGTGATGCGGGTGCAGCGTATGCCGCGCCCTCCATGGCTTCTGATTTCGCCCAGAGTAGACACTTCGCTGGCTGAAACAAGGAAACATACCCTGGCACCTGACTTGTTCCGTTCCATGGGGTTAGAGTATGCAGCTTCGTACGAGGGGCACACAATAACTTATACGGACGGATCCAAAACTTCAGACGGTGTCGGCTGTGCATTTGTTAGTGGAACCGTCACTCGATTATTTACACTGTCAAGGCACGCGTCGGTATTCACCTCCGAACTGGTAGCTATAAGCAATGCGCTTTGTTTTATTGAAGTTGGGAATGAGTCCTTGCATCTTGTTTTAACAGATTATGTGAGCGGCCTCTTGGCCTTGAAAACTTTCAACCCATCATGTCCCCTTTTATGGGACGTTTTGATGCATCTCGCTGCATTGGACCGAGTTGGAAAGGTGACACTGTGTTGGATTCCTAATCATGTCGGCATCGTTGAAAATGAGCTCGCTGACGCGGCCGCAAAGTGGGCATCACATGTACCATGTACGCGCAAATTGCCTCTTCCAGCTCGAAATCTTTATCCAGTCATTTTACTTTTCTTGCAACACAAGTGGCAGCTCTGTTGGAATAATGACACAAATACCAAATTGAAACATATAAAACCCGAATTGGGCCTGTGGTCTTCCAGCTTGCGCGATTCGAGGCGAGAAGAAGTTGTGCTTTCCAGGCTGCGTATTGACCATACGTCCGAAACTCACCGATATTTGTTGTGTGGTGGTGAAAGACCCCGATGCCCTCGTTGTTCCGCATTTCTTACCGTGCACCACGTGGTAATGCTTTGTCCACATTTCGCTCGGGAGCGCTCGCTTTACTTTGGGCGAAATGCTATGCTTGGGCGAAATGCTTCCTTACGCTAAGTGACATTCTTGGTAATCACTGGCAACTTCTTGACGATGGCGGACTGTTTTCATTCCTTGCAGAAATCGGATTGCGCTCTATATATTCACCTCGTAGCTAAATGACAACGCAATGGGCACAATATGACCTATGCAGTCGGTGCGCCCAAAAGCCCTAATTAACAACAACAGCAACGCGCCTATCGCCAATGCCGCGTTGCAACCCGAAACCCGCCTTGCAGCTTCCTGGCTGGGGTTTCCGTGGGGCGGCCTTGAGTGGTCATTAGTTGGCACATTAACTTCGCCCTTTACTCCTCCAGCCATACACACCCAACAACGCCTAAAGCTGTACAACATCGACCCTTCGTCGGGTACCAAAGCCTGGTTTGGACCATCGGGGCCAATGAGAATCATAATGGTGTTCGACAACCACATCTCCCACCGAGATAGAGCAAGGAAACGTATTGGAGCAGTAGCGTAGTTTCTTGTTTAGCTTTGGGAGACTCTAGCGCCAAAGCTTGAAAGAAAAATAGGTCATGTGAATTTCATGGGCAGGATTAGCCGTTTACGTCGTTCATCGTCCAAAACTTGCTTTGCGAAACGACACCCCTGTGCTGAAGGCTCTTGGCCGTCTCACGCGACAGATTCGTCGCCGCAGCACCTCACCGTCCCGCCCACAGCACCGCTCCAAAGTGAAAAAACGCTGAATCAGGAGACAGATGGATCAAAATTGCTGGTAAGTGGTCGGCAGCAAACACCAGCCGCGTAGCGGCACCACAATTTTCAAGGATTTCGATCGTACTGAACACAAAGTGAAAACTGAGTCACGTTCTCGTGCTGCACGTTGCACAAACATAAGATGCCGAATGACATAATTGATGTCTACTGAGCTGTAACTTCAGATTAAAGCATTGCAATGTTCCCAGCCCGTAAATCAAAACCAGTACTTTCAGAAAAAAATCCATAAAATTTGGATACCTTGTTAAAAATGGCAAAGCGCCAGGATGCATATTATCGAGACAATAGAGAAATAAAACATCGAGCAAACTGATAACAAGTTGCTTTTTGCCCGCAAAAAGGAATGGGTGTCTTAAGTGTTCAATAATGAATCGAAATAGGGTAAGAAATGCAGAAGGCCAGCCAAGGTTTACCATGGACTTGAATTCATTGGCAGTATTGACTGGTGTAACAAATTACATTTAATAGTTTTGAGCCTGCGCGCTTGCAATCGTGGGAGCAAGAACACTGACGGCCCGGAGTTGCAGTTTCCATCAAACGGAGAGGTGATGGCCGCTGAAGATAACACCAGGCGTCTGTCGCCGGGCGCGCCAGAACGACCATCGTAAAATAATCCTTCCAAAGGTCTTTGAAAATAAAGTTGCATCTTTGGAAGATCGTACTGAGACGGAATATGTTCATTTGAGACTTTGTATGAGACTTTGCATTAGATTTCGAGCGCGTATGTTCTTAACTATCCATTCTGAATGCAACTTTTGCATGATCATAAATCGTATTAATTTCTGAATAGAAATTAAAAATGTTCTGAAAATCTATTCAGTTCTAAGCGACAATAGGCAATGATCTGCAATTCCATTCAATTCGGAATGACTGTTGCAAATTTTCAGACGAATGTGGCTTGGCAATGTCAGCACATAACCTTGATCCCATTTCGATCTGTAATCTACGTTCACGGGGTCAATACTTATCTCTGTAGAACCCCCAAAAATCCGGCGAAGTCCCTTAGTGCTACTGCCTTACAAGGAGTTCACTAAGCGATTATAAGACGAATAGCGTTGGTAGTATATTCCAGGAAGTCATTTAACGCCGGAAAGTGACATCGGCGTCATTTTTTGTGGAACCCTGCTTTAAACATCACAGTTGCATAGAATTGTAAGTAGGTGCACAGGAATGCCAGTTGCGCTTCACATCAACTTCATTTGATCCTAAATAGTCGCGTGCATCAAACACTGCAATCATTATCGCCGCCGAGTGTGTTCTACTGCTTCACTATTGGAGGCACTGCGGACGCTGCGTACGGCAGTATTTTCCAGCCATTGATAGGGAGCCTTCGAACATACGATCATCGTCAGTGTCGTCCGGACTCCAGGGAAGTGAGGCTGGCTGAGCTCATTGACCACCGAGTATGCGTACAGAAGTGTAATTACATGATCACTGAAGAACCAGCTCAAGTAGCAACGTTGTTACGATCAACCTGTTTTGCACGTGACATTGACATGACAGACGTGTTGTTTACCACACGTCCAAACTGAGCCGGGAGAAGGACACCTTTCGTCCAGATGCACAGGAGCTTGGAACAGTGTGCCCCGGGAGCACAGCAGGAGCTTGGAACGGTGTGCTCCGGGAGCACAGCAGGAGCTTGGAACAGTGTGCTCCGGGAGTACAGCAGGAAGTTGGAGCAGTGTGCCCCGGGAGCACAGCAGGAGCTTGGAACAGTGTGCTCCGGGAGTACAGCAGGAGCTTGGAACAGTGTGCCCCGGGAGCACAGCAGGCTCGCAGGGCGTGTCCATTGAAACAAGCGGGGAAAGACATACTCAACAGGAGAGCATCTGCCTAAGCGTAACACGGGAAATGTTGAATTCCACTGCCTTCAATGATCCGTTCATGGGTGCCTAAGTTTTGTTTTACATTGTCTGAAATGCATCTGTTTTGCCGATAAATTTTTGGTGCGTCGAGAGCGCGCGTGTGAATGGGCTGCAGTACACATATATTCTGGCTAAACCATTCTTGTAATTACGAAACTAAATAATCAAAAATTCCTACCAACGTAAATGTACATTCTAAGGAAATTATACATCTCAGTATGGAAGAGAGAGGTGCAACTGCATCCCTTCTGTGTTACAAAACTTGTGTGCTGTTAGGAAGCTGATGCAAATTGCCAGGCTTTCATATGTTATTGCTGTGGATAAACACATCAGCCTTGGAAAATTCAAGAAATGCATATATATATATATATATATATATGCATTATATATATATATATATATATATATATATATATATATATGTGTGTGTGTGTGTGTGTGTGTGTGCGTGTGTGTTTGTGTATATATGCATAGAGATATGTGTGCATGTGTGTGTGTGTACAGTGGACACCCAGAATACGAGTGATTGAAATCCGAGGTTTTTGGTATCCGTCCCTCTTTGACAGCTTCCACACTTTTGCCAACTCAATCATTTTAAGACATCGACACCCATGCCTGGGTAATGTGCTCCTACCTGTCAGCCCATACATTATTTCCGGGCTGGGTATGTGGTGTGCGATTTTATGGTATGCGTGCGAAGAAGTAGTAATACTACAAAATGCGGGTAAACACACGCAGATGAACGCGTGGAAAGCGCATGACGTCGTTTTCCGCCGTACAAGCCCTGCGGGCCTGGAACTTTTTTTTAGCACAAACAGCGCTAAGTTGTGCCCCCATGGCGAAATCCTGCACACACCCTTGATAGAAACAGGACGTATGTAACACTCTTTTCAAAATACCGAGCAAGTTTGATTTGTATTGTACCTATTCATCATTGCCTTACGTACTCGTCACTTCACGCTTTCGTCACGTTATAATTTGGTATCAGAAACCAGATAAGCAGACTAAAATGACGGATAGGGTCATGAATACAGAACAAAAACGCTTCGGTAGCAAACTTTACCGACTATTTTGATAAGCATGACTGCAAACGATGGATTTCGTTCTTGTTCAGCCTAACCAGCCGTGCATTTCAGACTTGGTACCAAATTAGGTCACTGCTGTGGGACCGAGGCCCTGCTGTTGAAATCATACAAGGCTTTCGTCCTTCTTCGACACTGCTTGTGCCAGCGTGTGGAGGGCTAATATGCTGGCTGCGGCGGCGTCGGCTCAGTTTATTGGCAGGAATCGCTCAAGCCCTGCACCAACCATCTACCGACTAATGCAATATCTGTTCAAGAATCGCAGTGGTAAGCCCGCCGCTGACCCGCCCTGGTTGCCGCAGAGCCTGAACCAGCCACACGACCTGGCCGTCAGCTCTGATGGCAGAACCATCTACGTGGTGGAGCTGACGCCGGCACGGGTGGTCAAGTTCCTGGTCGATCCCGACTTATACGAACATCTGTAACCGGGCGGTGTCTGGGGACGACCACCGGCGGTGGCCGTCGCAGCGCGATGGCTGCGTTTGGCTGGGGACGACGGGTCTTCAAGGCCGTGGCTTGGGTTGGTTCAATGTCATCGCCATGTCCCACCGCTGTTTCGTGTAACCGGTTGCGGTCTTTTATCGTGGGATGACAGATCATCCAACGCGCTGGAGGACGCAGCCGCAGCTGGCGCTGGCTGTGTGCAATCGATTGATGTTCAATGGTCCCCACTGGCGTGTTTTCCGTCGTCAGGGGGCGCACTCGCCACACGGGGCGAGGGGTTACCACCCTGACTTTGTCAATAACGTTCTGGACGGAGCAGCATTAGTGTCCGGCGAATGATCTTGGCGTCCCGCCCCTCCATCTAGGTATTCATGGGGCCACCCTCATTAGGTCCCAGGCGACGTGACCGATGAAGGAAAAGTATTTTTGCAGCTATTCTTCTGGTCAACATTCGATAGACCTATTGCTAATACGTACGCCCTTTCCAAATATATGTGTCATCACAGCAGTTTGATTGGTTGCGTGCCGGGATGCCCGGCGCACTCAAAGGCCAGCTGTTTTCTGCCAGGTGTACGCAGGCAGACGGCAGCACAGTGAACTTATGATCGGCACATCTGGGCACACCAAATATCGCACACGGTCGGGCGAGCGACCCGCGATATGGCTGCTGGCGCGACATTTAGACCAGGTCGTGCAGGTGGTGCGGACTTTGCACCGGCCGGCGCATGCCAGCGGGAGGCTCGCCATGGCTGGTGCCCTGCCGGTAAGCGCAACAACAAGCACGTATTGGCACCCAACCTGCCAGCCGAGCGTCCTCAGCTTCAATCAACCAGAGTTTGGCCCGCTCTCCGCCGCCAGCGCGTTTGTGGGTCGATCCGTCAGGTGGCACAGCGGTGACGACCGAGGGACGGGCCGACCCGATGTTACAACTGGTCACCGGAGCCCAAACGGCGTCTCTGTCCCGGGTTTATTGACCTTATTGACCTTCACCGACCTAACCATGTACAAAATATACATCACTCTATCACATTGTGCGAACGCCTGCAAAAGAACAAACGGTCAATAAATACACGTAGCTCTCGTCACTGCACGCAACATCGCCACCGGTTGACTCACGGCCGGCACGGGTCACGGTCAGCGGCGTGAACGGAACGGTCGTCGCCGTCCGTTCTGCACAGCCGCAGCGGCCGGCAAGGCGTCCCCACACATACATTGCACGGGAATGTGGACCACGCGCCGGTGCACTGGCTGCACCTAACGAGGCGGGGCGGGGGCGGCCTGACGGCCGTGCGGAGGACAGGGCGAGCCATACAGCAGGTGGGCTGCCCGCTCGTCCGGCCAGAGGGCGGTGGCCGCACGAGACGGTGACAGCGGTCCTAGTGCGGAACGTGTCGCCGCTGGGGTGGCAACAGATCATCCAATATGAACGATGGGAGGACGGTGGTGCCTCGAGCCGCTGGGCCCTCAAACGATGTGGAGGACAGGATGGTGCCTCGGGCCGCTGGGCTCTCAAACGATGTGGAGGACAGGGTGGTGCCTCGGGCCGCTGGGCTCTCAAACGATGTGGAGGACAGGGTGATGCCTCGGGCCGCTGGGCTCTCAAACGCTACGGCGACAAGATCGACCGCACGGGAACACTGCCAGCTACAAGACTCGATATAATAAAATGCTGCCAGCTAGGGTCAACTGTGACATCACGCATTTGTTCATCTAAATCGAACAACAGAAAGCCCACAAATACGTGACGCAGCTGTAAGTAGAATGGAGCACTGATTACGACGCTCCGATACAAGCGCAAGCTCGCGTAAGAACGCAGCACGCAGAAACATTGTACCCCATCGTGCAAACAATCCCGCAAAGAGCTGGAGACAGATGAGATTCGAAATCAGGCGTCGTAGCAGATCTGTGATGAATTGCACACGAATACCAGACGGAAGACCAAATGCAGATCTGCCATAAAGTAAGGAGCACGCACGAACAGCACACGGGTTGATATATGCAGTCCAAACTCCAATAAGCACAGTTCCGAAGCATTCACAAAAGCCAACACCACGCTCCCGACTGTTTAGCAAACATCAACGGCACGCTCAACTAACGCAACACACATTTTTGCAGATCAGTGACCATTACGTTCGTGCTACTCGGCCGGCTGGAAGAGCCAAGGTCCACACACACACACACACACACACACACACACACACACGCACGCACGCACGCACGCACGCACGCACGCACGCACGCACGCACGCACGCACGCACGCACGCACGCACGCACGCACGCACGCACTCACACGAAGAAGAGCTGTCGAACAGCTCAGTTCAGCAGACAGTCTCGAGAGGTAAAACCCGGGAATGGCGACCACTCAAACACTGCCTCATACACACTCAAGCGTGCCTCACGCCCTGTTCCTGAAAAGTTTGTGACACATCATCACCAGCAGGCTCTTCACTACAGATCCGAGCAAACACGTCAACCCACCGGGTCGCCCAGCGGCCAGCCCATCACTCCGCCGCAGTGAAATAAAGTGGACCAAAAGTGGCGACATTGTCAGAACGACACAGGCGGTTAGCTCCATAGAAGTGTTGAAAAAAGTTATAAAAACACAAGAGTTACTCCACGTGGTGCACCAACCAAGCTGCTTCGATACGTAGGAAACTGGAAGAATTTAGCAAGCTTACTCTCAACAGATAACAACCTCCGCGTGACCCAGTGCAAACTGGGTAACGATGCTGGCCGAGGGAGCGCCGCCTCCTGTTGCGTGCGACAAAGCGCCCGTCACCAGCAAACACCGGCATTTGCCACGGACCCCGCACAATACAGCAAGTGTTCTACATGCAGGACAATCCTTGTAGATCGCGTCGAAGCGGAGGCCGACACAGCACCGTATTGTCGGTCGCAAGCTTGAAGTCAGCCGCCGTGCTCTTGCCTCGCCAGTCAGCAGGCACACGGCAGCGAGCGCGAAGGGTCACACCTTCAGAAGCGAGCCCCCAAATAAATAGTGGGTCCATGGCGATACGCCCTCGCCCCTCTCAACATCTCCTCCGGGCAGGAACGCGCAGCGCCGTCCTCGCCCTCCCCAGGGTATCCGTTGTCTGCCATCCGCAACCACAGAGAGCACCAATCTGCGACACACCAGCGACACGTCACACACGTCCGCAGCCGCCCTAACACGCGTGCGCGACTGGACGCACGTGAAAGGGGGCGACAAGACACGACTTTTCACGTGCGCGACTTGATCTTGGCGATGAACTCCTCGACGTCGCTGTCGCTGTCCTCGTCCAGGTCCTCGGTGCTCAGCGGCTCGAAGCCCCCCCGCGACTTGGAGCCGAGCAGCGAGTTCATTGACTTTCGGTGGCCGGCTCCGCCGTTCAGATTGTGCAGCAGGAAACGCCGCCGCTGGCCTGCCGGACCCGGGAAGAGGAGGTCACATGGAGGTACCGACGGACGGAGGAGGAGTCAGAGCGACGCATCAGCGGACGGAGGAGGGGATGGATCCGATGGAGGTACCGACGGACTGACGAAGAGTCAACACAGATTTCGGGTTCACGTGGAAAGTGTGATCGATCTTGAGGTCTTAAGCCACATATTCGAACAATATTTAAGTGCGTCATTCCTGCGCACAAAACGTGTCCATGGGTTCGAATCAGCTGAGTTTAGTTGTGCCTATATCTGCGATGAAAGGCGTTCTTCATTGAAGTATATCTGTGACGCCACGTCAGTGAACGGAGCTGGGGTCGTCTCCAGCAGGCAGCGACGGGAGTCTTCACCGCCAAGGACAAAGCGGGCGCACTGTGGCGGCCGCCCACGCACGGCGCACGGGCACCGCCACCCGGCACTCACCCCGCTTCCTCAGCCGAATAGCGGCCATGATGACAGCGAACAGCACGACCGGCACGGCGAACAGCGCGCCCATCACCATCTTGGCGTGACCGGAGAGGGCCGGTCCAGTGGTGCTGCTGCCCTGCGGCGACTTCACGAACTCCACCGTCGGGTCTGCGGCGGCATGGGCAGCCCGTGTCACGATCGGCGCCCGTGCCGGTGACCGGCGGCGCACGGCGTCCGCGGCTCTGACGACACAGCAGTCAGTCTGCGGCTGCCAGTGTACACAGCACAGTGCGTTATACGTCCGGCTGTCTCCACAGGCGGGCAGCGTGACAGCTGTCGTCACGAAGCGCACTCGAGCCTGAGGCGCGACTGCGCTGTCCCACACGCCAACCATGGTCATCTGTCGCTCATCGTGCACTACTCAAACGGACGGTGGGCGAAGGGGAGGACGCCGGCAAGGTTCCCCGTAGTCGATGAATTTCTAGCAAGTGCGCGGAAAGGAAGTTCTGTGCTACTCTGGAAACAGATGAGACGGTAAAACCCCGTGGCTCATGTTTGTAAGAAAACTATCGTACGTGAACTGACCTTCATGCAGGCCGTTGCCGGCCGAGCTGCTCCCTGAAACATACAATTGGCGCATTCAAGGCACAATGAAGAGCTCTTTTACTTGACAACCTAGCAGCTGTTGTGTATTGGTTCCACAGCCACGACTACCGTGGAGGGAGTCTCACACATGTTCCCGAAAGACGCGAGTCGCCATCTATTTTAAGACCTCAGCATGGGGCTAATGCACGAAGTATCGAACACACGTAATGCAAAATCATGCAACAGATCATTGCACTTCGCTGGCTCAAGCTGTAGCCACGCAACTCAGTCATCCGACACTCAACAGGCGTCAGAGTTTCACTTGATGTCCACTGGACCATTCCACTGGCTCGAGCCATTTCAAGTATGTGCACATTAGGTATCTCGGGCGGCCAATCGGATATGAGTTACAAACATTGGTGCCCACCGATACCGGCGGATGGTGCAGCGTAGTGCGCAAATGCGTTGTGACGCCGCCCGGCGCCGCAGGCGTGCCCCCGGGGCGCTGGTGGACGTGGCTTCAAGGGCTCATGCGACACAGCGTGATGTTCGAGTCGCCGTTAGACCATCGCGTGGTCTGAAGTCTCCGATCGACGCTCCGCCCACGCGTCTGACGGACACCACGTCTGGCGATGGGTCGTTCGCACCCACGCTCAAGATGAGCCTGAAGGGGGCTTCCCTCACCGGCGCGCCTGCCTCAGTCCCACACGCCCAGTCTACCGTGGCGGCAATGGGTGCGCGCGTTCAAGAAATATCTCCCTCTAGATTCCGCGATGATCCAACAGCGACTGTGTTCGAGCGCCACACGGTATGACGAGTCCATGGCTCCGACGCAGGCTTGCCGGGGCAGGGCGGTGCTCCAGCACTAGCGAGCTACGCTACAAATGGGAGAAGGAAAACTGGCCGCTTCGCCCAGTCACTAACGTTTCCAGTCCGGTCGGCGCATATGGATTAGAAAACAGGAAAGGCATGCCATCCCTCAATCCGTGGCCAAAAGCCTTAGCCCAAAATAACAATCCCAATTATACGCATGTGAGGTCCAATTCAAGCTCAAGAAGGTCGCCACAGGTAGTTGAACTTAGCTGACCTTAAAACCCCGATTGGGGGTCGCGGATTTCAAGGGTTCCAGAGCAGCCTCGACCTGGCCAAGCTTAGATGACAGTGTTCGCCACAAGCAGTGCCATAGACGCACTGCCGGACACGGTTAAACCTTGAAAATAGAATGACGGACGCGCTGCCAGCACCCAAATGATTAGGGTTAGGGCCACTGACATTTACGAAGGTTGCAAAATATTACTGACATATGTGGTCATTTACTCGTATGTACACTAGGGTGACAAGAAGGCTTAAGTCACCGCGCCCACCGGTAGGGAATATCCGCCAGGTTTCACATTACTCACCTCCGGTTTTTAGATTCTTTTTCTGGGCGCTATGGGCTCCACCTGCGAAACGCAACGGCCCGGTAGAACGTCACAACAAACGGGCAAGACGGCGGCGACATCGACACTGCAGGTCACGCCAACCATTCCTCACCTCGAAGATCAAGTAGTTCGATAACAGCACGCAAGCATTTCATCAGCTGCAGCACGCAACTGCTGAAATACACGATGCCCGCGGTTCTTTCAGACAAGCAGTTATCAGCAGCGCCAGTCTATGAATCGGCCCAGACGGATACAGCCTTTCAGCCTCTAACGGCCATGGTGAACGCCGGAAACACTACAGCGCAAAAGCTTTTTCATTTCCAGCTCAGCTCCGACGGAAACAGCGGGGCGGATTGTCATCAGCACCACACCTTCGCCATCCACCACCCTACGCCACAGAGCGAACCGATGAAATACCCAATGCACTGCCTCCGATCAGGCGGCCAACTTTGCGTGAAGCCCACCGTTTTACTTAAATTAAATTACATGCGGTGAGATTAAACAGTAATTTAACATAAAACCGTCATTTCGAACTGGAATGCAAAGCCGCCATGCTTTTCAACTCGGCAACGTGACTATGCGGGCCTTCCATAAGGCAAATTTATCTTGGTGACCCCTCAGCGGTTATCGTTGATGTCGGCCCTTTACACATGCAGGCAAGAGGAAAGTCGACCATCGAGTGTCTCCGGCGAGCCCCCAAGCCCCGTTGAGGCCCGTCTAGCCGCCGTGAGCTGGGCTGAAGCTTTCCTTTCCTGAACTGCGCCGGTGTTCATAATTGTACCATACAGAACATCAGCGACATCCACTCTCAGCTTTAGCGCGCGGACTCCGAACTGTGACATAAACATCGCCGGCTCAGCCGCTAAACAGGACGGGAGTAAAAAGTGGACGGACAGCAACGGCCAAAGCGTCTTCGGACCAGGCTTTGCAGTACATAAACGGCTCTAAGCAAACACAAATAAACATGCAGCAATCATTTCCGAATTAAGAGAACCGCAAACTGTCAACACGCTCGGGCGTCACAAAAGTTGCAACTCAAAGGGTCAACAGGGCACCACCGACTACCCGGGCCTGCAGCAGTGAAGCGGAATCCCTACAACCACGTTTTTTGTGTTTTTGTTTTTTCGTTTTTGTTTTTTGTTTTTTTTTTCGCCAGCGAAATCCTGCAGCAGCCTAGATCACACGACACCCTCCCAGGATTCACCATAGGCTTACGCCAGTGGCTCTCACAAGTCCCGTAATCCGGTAAGAGGTGACCCTCTCCATCCACCCCATAAAAGGCAGCGTTCCGGGGACGAACAGGTTACGGTAAGCCCTTTACATGAAACCCGTCCGACCGAATCTCTTCTTGTCGCTTAAAAGGTCTCTTTTCAGTAGTTGTTCCCTGAGCCGCATCCGATCAACATCCTGCAACATTACGTTCAGTATATTCCTGCACTGAAAACGGGGCACTTGACGCACCGGTCACCAATTACCGGCCTGTTGCCCAAGGCTGCCATTTAGAATACAGGGAGCTACCTGTGCAGCGGGTAGCTGGGGGCGAGCCCATACATCGAACCACAGGCCGAGTGCCCCTTTGCATCCTCCCCTCATACATCAATCGGACGGCCAGCCTTTCCCCGTACTCACTGGCCACGAATTTCCAGACTTTGGGCGGCGAGAGCTCGACCACGTACACGGCCGAGCCGTCGTGCGAGGTGGCCACGTCGTGCGGGTTAGAGAGGCCCTTGTCGTCCGGACTGAACGTGGACGTGACGCCCTTGGAATCCACGCTCACGACGTACCTGCCGGTCACGAGCACACCATGTCACGGGCGGGGCGGTAGAGCGCCCCAGAATCGGAGCCACTCACACCCCTTGAGTTCGCGGTGGTTCGCCGCGTGGAGGTCTTCTCTGTCCCGCCTGCTGCGCGCAAGGCCTGTGCGCGCTTCCCAACCCTGCACGACGTCACGACGTCTGCCACCGCTGTTCATAACATGACCATCACCAACACTTGTTCCCTGGCCTGACCGTGTGAGACAAATCTGTGCCCGGGTGCAAGACGAAGGCGTGCGATGGCTTCCGCTCAGCCTGCCGCACTGCAAACGGCCCAGCCGCCAGCTGGCCACGTAAGACGCCTCTGCTGACGACGGCGCCGCAGCGGTACGACACCGGTCCCATTCGACCCTGTCATCCTTCCAGCGAACGCACCATGCCACCCACTCACCCCTGGACCTTGTTATTGGCATAGTTGGGGCCGTTGACCACGTAGAGGGCGCCGCCGTCGCGCGCAGAGTAGGCCAGTGCGTAGATGCGCGAGCGCTGCCACGTGACGCTCACGTCGGTCTTGCTGAGGTCCGAGGCACGGAAGCAGACGACACGGCCGTTCTCCCGGTCGGCAGCGCACACCAGGTTGCGGTCCTCCACCAGCGTCAGCGAGTGCGGGATGTTGAACTCGTCCAGCGCCGGCGCCCTGCCCAGCAGCGAGCCTGGCGGCGGAGAGGGCGCGCTCGGGCGGTGCTGCCACTGGCGCAGCCCGCTGGGACGGCGGCTGGTGAAGCGACCGGGGTTCTGGCCGGCGCCGACGTCTGCAGTCCGACTCAGCCCGTCACAAGCGTTTGAATAACTAACGAGATATGCTTCACACACACCCTGTGTTTACAGCAGGGTGGTGCATGTACCTGTTTGTAGGAAATGAAAACGTCGTGGAGGGAGAATGGGCCGCCGCCTGACCATTGTTAAGACTGATACAGCGGCAGGTCAAGTGTAGTCCCGCCAGAGCAACGGCGGGTCCGGAAAGAGCACAGCGGCCCGGCGGACGGGGTGCGACTGTTGTCGACACGGCCAGCGTGTACCATGACAGACATCGAACTCTACGAGGCGCACCGCACTTAGTACAGGGATGGGTGCAAACATAGCCGCGCTTTGTTCGCTTCCTGAAGCAAATCGCATGCAGTATATAGTCAAATTAAACTGTATGGGGCATTGCATATTCAAGTCTACCATGGATCAGTCACGCAAGAGCAGAGCTCGGGGAGAAACATCAAGTTTTGGCTTTCACTCCACAGCCAGCAGCAGGCGGCCACGGGCCGTGCATCACAGGGCAGAGGCCACCCCTACTGGAATAACTTTCCAGCAACCTACAGCCTCGGTCGGTTCACTGGACGTGTGACGTCACAACAGCACCATGTCGAACACCGCAGTCAAACAAGCGTCTCAGCGACACGACCATGATGCGCTGGTGCCGTGGCTGGCTGGCCTGGCCGGCAGCTAGGAGCACACACAGGCGGCGAACAGCGGCGGCCGTGAGGCTGGCGATTGTGGCAGCGGGCCGTGCGCCGATCTCGTTCACGTCTGGGAGTGAAGCGATTCAAAGACTGCCGCCCAGCCGCGCAGAGACCACCAGCCTCCAGCGCATGCAGCTATCAGTACGCAGCAAGCGGGGACAAGCATCCAGATAACAGTCGGTTGTGTTGGGTATCGGCCATTCAGTCATGACTTACAGTTCATGCCAACAGTCGTGGTTCTGTGATGCTTCTGGGGTTGTGGATGTGTGGCATGCACGCCGATTGATTATTCACATCTGAGTCCACAGTTCACATGCAGTGAACTCTGGACAGGAGAGTTCACATTCAAAGTTCACATGCAGACCGATTTAACTTGACCAAGTCTAATGCACAACTGGAGCAAACTCCTCCGACCTTCTTTTTGTTATCCACCTGATGTCATCGTTGCCACTTTTTTACATAACTTGCACAAAAAGGGTCAATGCCAAAAAAGCCCAAAATGAAGGGACAGGCCCTTCGTTACTCCCCCCCCCCCCCCCACACACACACCTCACGCCCTTCCGCCCCTCCCCCTTCACCGTCACCGCCAAGAGCCAGCCCGCCGCCCCAAAGCGCCGGGCACAGCCAGCCGGGCTACCTACCGAATATAGCGAACGTACTTGAGGCGCGGCCGACGCTCTTGATGGGCCGGCCGCCGCCGGGCGCGTACTTGAGCACGCGCGTGTTGCAGTAGCCGTCGGACACGAAGAATGAGCCGTCGCGCATGACCGCCACGGCGGTGGGCTTGCAGAAGTGGGTGTCGTCGCTGCCCGGCTCGAACTTGGTGCCTAGCGTCATCAGCGGCGTGCCGTCACCGCCGCGCGCGCCGAACTTGAACACCTGCCACCGGGGTGGGGGTCAGTTGGCGGCAAAGCGTCGTGTGGAATTGGAACCCCGACAGCCCGGCCTGCCACGGGCCCGTCATGACATCAGCTGTACCGCTCACAGCTCTGGCAACGTGCAGTGGGCCAACACCCTTCCCGTCAAGTGTGACCACCAGCTGTGACCTCTCACGCCACCAGCTTGGCGGGCACCGTCACATGGCTCGCATGGCAGGCCGCGTGTTTGCGTTCACCGTCGGACGACGTCCCCGAATGACAACCTTCCTCAGCGGGATGGCCGGCTCTGTTCAGCACAATTTCAGGTCGGCCCACATGGAGGCAATCATGGCCCCCGTCGTCCGATAATGGGCACCTCAGGCCGTGGTCGACGACCCCACCGCCAATGGGACGGCGCGCCGCCGCGGTGCTACAACTCCGGCGACAGTCCAATGACAGCGGCGGCATCCATAACATCGGCACTTCAATCAGTGCAACCGTTGCCAGAGGCCATACTTCACGCGGCGCGATTTATGGAGTGGTCCCCAGCGACAACGCGTCTCCTGATATTGTCTCACGCCGATGTGTTGGGTGGCACGCAGATGTATTGGGTGTTTCTGAGCTGGCGGTGGCCTTCACACGAAACACACATCGAGACGTAGAGCGCAACAAGCCTCGTTTGCCACGGTGTCACGTGCCAGCAAACGACATGAGCTACGCACGAGCTCTGCACGAAGCCCGGTCGGCGAGGCCTCCGCACAACGGGGCCTCTGCACGGTGGGGCTCGGCCGACCCACGCCATGGTCGGACCCGTGGCGTTTCACCAGCCCGGTCGGGTCGACCCCCGCTCCTCCCCCCGCGGTCCGGCGGGCCGCTCTCACCTGGTGCATGCCCACGTCGGTGCACCACACGTTGTCCTCGTGGTCGACTGGTCAGTCCGTGCGGCACGTAGAAGCTGCCGGCGGCGCGGTGGCGTCAGGCGGGCGCGGCTCGTTACCGGCGGGGCGGGAGGGGGGCGGGGGGGGGGGGCGTCACACGGACCGCCAGACGGACCCCATCGGATGGACAGCGCGGAGGGTGACCGGACCGACGCGCGGCATGAGCCGCAGAGTACCAATAGATAGCCAGGACCACGTGCCGCGGCCAGCCTGGCGCAAAGTTGCAGTGTCGGTGAAACTGAATGGAAAATTACAGCACACACGTACTTAAGCATACCCCAGCAGGTCGTCTACATTACTCTAACATGCTTATGACAGTCTGGCACGGTTCATGATCTCCACAACTTCAGCTCCAGCATTCGAAAAATTTGGCGGTCGAGAACTTACCGAGTTCCAGCACCAAGCAATGAGCCTGCTGCTGCCATGAAAACAGGTCGACTTCCTACCAGTAGGTCCCTGAGGCATCGCCCACAGGCCCCAGCCCCACTCACAAGCGCGCGCCCATCTGGAAGACTATCTCGCCCGTGTCGTTGCGCAGATAGACGATCGTGTTCTCGGGGATGGGCGAGCTGGTGTCGCGCAGTCGGTTGCCGACGAACGTGTCGCCCGACCACGGCCGCGACGCCCGGTGAAAGACGACGACGTTGCCGGCACCGTCCACCGACACGGCCACTGCCTGGCCGAACGAGTGCGCCGAGCCGCCCCAGTTGTGGACGAACTCCACGCCTGTCGCCACCGGGGGGCGCGTCAAAGCTGAGCGCTGGCAGGAGTGGAGGACGGAGGCTGAGGGCTCGGCCAGCCGGTGGGTGCGGATTAGGCATCAGCGAGCTAGACACTCGAGAGCCAGGTTAAGCGCGTTTTGGACCGGAAGCCTCAGCTCAACAGCGCCGGGCAGTTGAGAAGGTCGAGGGTTGTTTATTAGAGAACCATAAGCACTGGATAGTGGTGTCACGAAGTAGACTTCAACCCGGGCTCATTATACAACACCTACAGCCAACAGAAACGCCACGCTCGTCCTCGCGTGCATGTAACGTTCCTGCCTGCTCTGACCCTGGCCCACCTCCGAGCGCCTTGGCGCGGCGCGGCTGCTCGTACGCGCTGGGATCGACGACGGTGCCAACGACCGGCTGGGCAGCGTTGTCGGGGCCGGCGCCGTCAGATGGCCCCGTGTGGTAGTGCAGCGGGTCCTTCTGCAAGGGGAGGTGCCACCCGTCAGCACGCCACGTGACGGGGCACGTGCATTCGGTTCCGGTTCAGTTTTACTAGCGCTGTCTTCTGGGTACAGTAGGGCTGGCGCACAATAGTAGAACAGAACGCACCCTCTGGCATGCACACACTTGGTCATCACTCGTGTAAGCGCTCTTCAGTCAAATGTCAGTGCCGCAATGCAAGACCGGACATTTTATGTTTGAAGGCCACAACAATCAAGAAATGCCTTTGCTGCAGTGGCAGCGCCAGAACCATGACTAGGTGAAACCCCTAGTCACTGCAAGGCGGAAGGCCGGGGTGGGGAAAAAAATACCGGGTCGTGTCTACCAAGGGACTGAATTAAGTACAGTAAATTTATGAATTGTCACGCTATGACAGCGTGCAAAGAAAGCATCTGTATAAAAGCAGTTGCAGGCACAAAGATGTCAAAACCTAGCATAAGCCAGCGCCAATCAGTTAATGAATACTGAAATCTGCGCTCGAAAATTTAACAGCTCGCACCTAGCGACTACAATTCCCAGTTTGCACACTAATCGGCGACCAGCATGACTGGCAAGCATGCCGTCCTCAAGACCAGTGTAACCAGTACATACGGTTGTCTCAATACGACCATACACTATTGGGCATGCTGACCTCAGAACCAGCACAGCCAGTTTATGCCTGGTACAATTTTAAGCCATATTGGGGTGCCGCCGAATGATTCAGGCACATCCGGTTCATCACTTCAGGTTGGTGATATGGCTGTGCTGACTGTTAAACCATTGCCGGACAGAGCTTGTATTGAGACCAATAGCCTTTCTCACAAAGGCAGTTTTTGTACATTTGTATTGTAGTTTGTAAAGTTGTACGTGTAGTTGTAAAACTGTGTTTCATGAAGCAGAAACCTACAAACAACAACTACAAATTACAAACCTACAAAACCACACACAAAAATTGACAAATCTCTCGAGGATTTCTACAACCGTGCCTTGGTATGTTAAAGGCCAGCTGATTTTCCAGCCGCGGCGCATTTGTAAGATTGAAAGTACAAATTACAACTACAAATCAACGATGGCCCGCCCCGTTGTAGAGTAGGTGATCGTAAGCTTAAGGCAATGCCGCTAGCGACAATGGATTGTGAACGCAAAGCACGCAGAGGAAGGAGGCTGGCAAAAATCCCCGGGGCACAATAAACAAGTACTCGGAGGAAGTGGAAGGACAAACAAGCTCGCAGAACGCAACGCTCAGGTGAAGTGACCCAGTGATGGTGTTGATGGATTTAATCATCTCTTACTCCGCGTATGGCCCGTGCAACCAAGCGTGCAGCAAATTTGTTCCTTTGCGTTATTACCCATCACTATAAATGACCTTGGCAGCCGCACCGGCCCGATCGAAATCCTGCGTTGTCTCGTGCTCGCGCGTTTCAGGGGTGGGAGGGTACTGATACGAAGGCGGTCATTTTCCGTGAGTAGGCCTACTGGCATCTAAGTCACTGCCAGGATGAAATGGCTGTACTTAAGGTTATGAAATGTCTTAATTTTAAGTGTAGTTTCTGCCCATGCAAGTGAAAGCAGGCATGCCATCCTATCGAACTGCGGGCATGCGACGCCATTCACGCTGACGCCAAACAGGGACAGCTATCGCCGGGTGTGAACAATGCACGAATCCCATGTCTGTAAGTAGAATATAGGTGTCTATCGTGGCAACAGAACACTAGTATTATGCTGGTTCAATGAGTCACCGTTTGCCATGACCGTGCCAATATTGTTTGTTTACTTCTGCTTAAAACTGTAAGACGCGCGGTGAAGACAGAGACAAATGTACTTGATTGCTGGTATGGGGGAACCTAACGTTCTGCTCCTTGACACTTCTGATACATTTATTTTGTTTTTGTTTGCAAACCGCGGTATTTACGATTATCCATAGCATAATTTGTTTTCGTGCGCTCACATCAGCTGGTGAGTGAAATACTGGAGGGGCATCGTTGGATTTCCTATTGGTGGAACCCCGTGCGACTCAGCACAGGGCAATGACGTCACTGGTGCCCTGTGTCATACGCCCCCGCCGCTGCTGTCTCGATCACGGTGGCGCAGCGGAAACGTAGGGTAGATGCAGCATTTAAAGTGATTGGATGGAAGGCAATTAATAAAGCTTTGATCGGAAGTACCAAGCAAAGTCGTACTGATTCGGTTAGTGTTTCATTTATCATGCAAGCAGGGGCGTCAGCTTTTCTAAATCATTGGGGATAACGTAGGACCTAGGTGAAATGCATATTTTGTGATAGGGTGAGCCATTTTTTTCCCGCCCCCCCCCCCCCAACATATTATTCAGCGACATGACGCCCTTGTGAGGAACTGTGAACAAACCGCAGTGTTTATTAATAAACCTCGCTCCAAATACATTTCTCGCCGGCTCTTACGCCACCCTATTTTGATGTACTGTAGTTTTTCAAGCTGATGGCACGGAATAGTCCTTTATCTTAGTAGAACGGTCATCAACCGCAGGTCATGTCTGAAGAAGATCCCTGTGATATTTATATTTTCCTGAGATTTTGTGGCATTGAGGTCAAAAGATTTGTGAAGGGGGGGGGGGGGCAACCAAATAAGGTAGACGGGTGTCAAACGAGGGCCCTCACAAACTCACAAAGGGAACAAACCGACTCCTGCATACAATATTATAGTCTTCAAACCCTGCTGTCGCTACTGTTTGATTGTTTTGGAGGAGCACAGTCAAGGGGCGCTCCATCCCCCCCCCCCCCCACAGGTCTTCATATTTACCACAGCGCTCTTAGAAAAAAATTTAAAATTGTGATGCGTTCTCGTTACGGCCTGCCCCGACCTTCTTAAGAAAATATTGGTTGTGCCCCTGCTGTTGGTACGAACTAATGGCAAGTATGCGCGGCGGCAAGGTAAGCACAGATGAAAAAGAGCCCAGCAAGGGAATCCGAGTCGGCGGCGGGCCCGTTCTCTAGAAAGGGACAATGACGGGACCTGGAATGTCAGCGGGCCCCTTGCACCGTTGGGTCCCCCGACAATAAAGGGAGATGGGAAATAGGGTAATAACAGGGCCCGCATTGATTGACGCAATTGAATGGTTATGTGTCGGACAGTGGGCCCAATAATCAACAAACGACCTTGCTCCGTTTTGTCCAGGGGCCTGATTTGATCAAAAGTGATCCCTGTGTCATTTAGTAGATCCCCTGCACCTGCGAGAAATTATTGTGCGTCACTGAAATCCGCTACTCCGAGTCGCACTCACCGCCCCCGTCAGAGGATGGCCGGCGTCATAAAGGGGACCAGTGTTTCCTCAGAGGGCCTCTGAATCGATCTGACGCCCGGCGCCCGTGCCGCCAGAATGCCGCACCATAACTATTCTGTGGCCCCCAATGTTTCACTGACGACGACGCCCGAACGGAACAAGTATGTGTTGTCAGTGCCATCGTAGCCCAGTCGGCTTACGTGCACCTCGGCAGGGAGCTGATCCGTGTCGTGGAGGCGAGCTTTAAGTGGGCTGCGGAGGAGGAGCTGGTGCAGATTTTAGAGTGCTTGAGTGTGTGTATATCCAAGTTAGGTGTGCTAGTGGTGTGTGAGTAGCTGAGTGGGTGTTCCGACGGATATTTTAGATGTTTCGTGATTGTTTGATTGATATGTGTTGAGTGGTTGAGTGCGCGGGATGTTTGAGCCAAAGAAAAAAATACAGAATGACGTTTTTTTAGAATGCATTTGGTTGTCGTATTTGGAAGTGTCGTTTCCCCGTGGTAAGAGGTGGAGGAAGATTGGTGAAGTTCGACAGCAGTGTAGTGGCCCGTATGTCGTGTTCAGGAGGAGCAGCTGGCGCCTGTACCTGCCGCTTTGCCGCCGTGTATGAATCCTCGGCACATCCTATTCCCGAAGACTCCCGTACTCCCGGCGTGCGTCATGTGGCGGCGCTCGCTGCCGGAGTTGCTGGAACCGACGTACCTGTGCCATGCTGGCTACCTCCGCGCCAAAAACGCGTGATTCCTGCCGTCAATGCTACTGGTTGCTGTACTCGATGGCCTTGTTCCGGGGAGCAGCGCGCCGGACCGGTGCGTTGATATGTCGGTGCCGACATGTCGGGCGAGCTGACTGCGTGGTGTGAACATGACAGAGCTTGCCCGCTACGTCGTTTTTTTTGTTATGATAACTTTTTTGTTTGTTATGATTTTTTTGTTATGTTTTTTGTTCTTTGTTTTTTGTCATGATAGCAGCCATCACGATGCTAAAATTCATCTGAATGTACGCGATCTTTTGCTGAAGGCCCTGGCGAATTAGCATCATCTGGCGATGGCGTCATCTCTTTGCCGACTTCCATACGAGTAAATCAGTGGCATGTACATTTACCACTTGTCCGCTTGTAAGTGAAGTTGGTCATACGTTAGTGCTCAATGGGCAGCATTGCGATGAAATAAAATAAACTCGTGAGGACATCAATGTGAAGTTATCAAGTAAATGCCAAAATGAATGGATGTGTTGCCGACCTATTCCTTTCCCTTCATATCCAATTGTATACGTAGTTACGCTTCATACGACCCGTGTGCTCCAGATGGTACATCTCAACTGGAGCAAAGGCCAACACAGATTCACCAGCATGTGGCACATTTTGGTAAGACAGGCTACATATTGTGTAACCCTAGAACGTCGGCTATATGTAAACGAAATGGGATGCCATGTTCACTTGGCCCTTTCTCGCCCCAAGTTAGTATATCGCACGCGGTGCACCTGTTATTAGGGGCGCAATTTCGCAACACCATTTGAGGATGGGACGGATAAATACCAAAACTGTCCGGAGATGCACGAAATCTTATTGTTCCCTTAGGGTTTTGCCCAGTTTTCCCCGCGAAGATGGGCAGGTGAAGGGACCACCTTCCATACAAGCCTGAAACCACTTCGGGTTTGGGATGAAGGGTAGGAAATAAGGCCCACTCCTGCCTTATGCGCTACCAAGGATAACTGTGCCACTATGGTAAGGATGATGTTTTGCTGATAACTGCAGTGATGCAAAACTTTTTCATCGGTGTAGGTAGACTGTCGGCTGGCTTGCAAGCTTAGTATGTCAGTGTTTTGTGTCAAATTGCCTATCACGTACATGAGCGCTGACCTGAATTTTAGACACAGTTCCGTATACTCAAGTCGTCCCCTGTGCAATGAAACTCAACAGTCTCATAGCTTGCAAAGAACAAGATAGATTGCTTGTGCGTGGAGCACGGTGGTGGTCAAAAACCACAGCCTATGAAAATAATATCGTTTTTATTTAGACGCAAGATTGGGGACGTAACCCATCGAGGAATACTTGTATAGTGCCAATTCGAAAAGCCCCAGGAAAATTAGCCAGCTGGCGCTGGATAACCAACCGCGTCTAGAAGAACCCTGTGAATCTTGCCGAGGCGCGGCATGCGGAGAGAGCGGTGCCTGCTCCACTCAATGTGATTAATTGGCATTGAAAGGTGTGTTGTTGTGCCATACATTAACTGAAGGGTGCACCATTCTTTATTTATCCCAGCTCGCACCAGGGTGTACAATATTGGTAGGTGAGTCACGCGCAGACTTCGCGGTATAGGCGAGCTAGTGGTACTACGGGGATATGGATGGGATCAGCGTGGCGCCCTCACTCACAAGAAGTGCTCTGTTCCACTGAAATGCAAAATTGCATGCTGACACTAATTTTTGACGGAAAAACACTGGGAAAATGTTGGCCCATTAAAGGCAGTGTGTAATGTACTCTAATAAAGGCCCATTGTGTAGACACTGATTCCACATTAGACAGACCTCTGCTTGCAGGCAAGTTTGTACTCCGACCGCGATAATTTCTGTACGCCGCCACCAGCAAAAAAAAAGAGTAAATTTCTCACCCTGCTACATAAAACCTCAAAAGAAGCATGGTGTGTACCAGCTGCGTTGAAGTGGAACTTTCATGGCGCATTTACCAAAAGAACGTTCGACGGCATTTTCCTCTTCCATATGAGCCTGGCGCTGCCACGGCCCTGATCTGCGCTCACCATGTCCTCCTTGTGCGCGTGCTTGGCGTGCTCCTCGAGCAACGGGTTGGGCGGCAGCGGCTGGTCGCTGTTGGCCGGCAGGGCGGCCGTGAGCACCTTGATGTTCTCGCCAAAGCAGGCGAACGCCGAGCGGCCGTGCGCCGCGTCCGTGTAGTACATGACGTACAGGTTGCACATCTCGTCTGCCGACGTGGAGCCTGGCGACGCCCACAGTGTGGTCAGGCGGCTCCACATGCTGAGTCGCAGAGGAAACACGCGCGCGGCGTTGTGGTGGACGTTGCGACCATGATCCAGGGGCTGACTGTGTACCGGCATCGCACATCCCCTCCAGGAGAGCGTTGTCAGAGGGCACGCTGCCGATGCCCCACACGCAGCTGCCCGCCCGTTACGAACAACCGTATCACGTAGCTCCACGGCACGCCAGCGTTCGGTTCGCGTCGGAATGCGCCGCGGCGGGGCCACGCCGACCACAAGTGCCCCAGAAAAGAGCATCACATAAACGTCCGGAGTTTGGGGCTCGGCCATATGTTACGCCGGCGAGCATACTTTAAGACCCAATTAAAACAGCAGTCACGGCAGATCCGTGCTACGCGTGTCGCCTCCACAGCGCTGGCGGTGGGGACGACACCAGAGCCCACCGCTGCTGTCCGGGCGCCACCTGCCGGGGATGGCAGGCGGCTGCCTCCTTGCCCATACTCACCGATGCGAGTGGTGCGGTTCCGGCCGGTCGAGTCGAACGTGCAGCGCGCGTGCACCAGGTCGTTCGGGTGGATGTCGACCACGCGGCGCATCGGGTAGAACGCCTGCGGCCACTGCGGGTTGCCTCGTGCCATCTCCACCAGCGTCTGGTTCTGCAGCGGCCGGGGGCGTGCTCAGCGTGGCCGCGGCGGCGACAGGCGGGCGGACAGCACCCAGAGCGGTATTGAGCGGTCCTGCGTCAGCCGCCCTCTCCTAGCGGTGACAGGCGAACGGCTACACCGGGGCCGGGTCGAGGCCGGGGGCCGGGGGCCGAGGGCCGGGAGCCGGGGTCGGCACGCCACGGCAGCGGCCACCCGCGGCCAACGACGGCGCGTGACACCGCCGGCAGCCGAGCGGCGAGTCTTGTGCCGGCGTTACGAGGGTACGCGGGGCAAACGCGCCCGGTGGACCAGACACAGGCGGACCGGACCCAGCCGGCTGGGACGGGTTACCTGCCGCCACCACAAGGCCCCCTAAGGTGCACCCCGAGTGGCTAACATGTGCGTATTCGCAACACAGAGCCCCACGGAGCGGCACACACACGCGCGCGCTAGCGAGGCTTACTCGGAACCCTGGCACCCATGGCTTGGTCGGCCCCGCCGTCGGTCCGGACGCCGGCGCGTACCTGCGTATTGTAGCGGTAGCCAGTGATGACCTTGCCCAGCTTGTGGGCGTGCACGCGGAACGCGAAGGCGTGCAGCGTATGCTTGCCCTCGAAGCGGCAGTTGACGTCGGCGTGGGTCACTGGGGGGACGGGCGGACAGTCAGCCGGTCAGCGGAGGACGCGGCTGCTGCGCCGTCCCTCGGTTACAGCGCCAGTCAGTCGGACCAGCGCTGTTCGGCGCTGTCACCGGCCGCCCGAGCCGACCGCTTGGAGCAGAGCTCCACTTCCACACTCGCCGCACGTTTCCTGTGTCTCTGGATAAACAGGCAGGGCTGCTCTGCCCGTCGCCATGAAAAACGTCTACGTACTACGTCCTATTATGTTAACAAAATAGCAGGACGTTGGAAAAGTCTGGGCTGCAAACACGTTGGGTCACATCCCTCCCAGATATTTTCCTGATTGCGTCATGACGTCCACGGGAGCTCAGAGCTGGTAAAAGTCGGGCATCAGCGAGAATGAAATCAGGAAGTGCTTATTCACTTGTCTGCAATCCTTAAGTTATGGTGCCAAATCCAATTCTGTACCAAATAATACAAAAAGCCTACATATCGACGAATCATACCAATTATCAAAATCGCCAATATCAAAATAATTTAGCACAAGCGTTTCACACGATACTTACCAAACGCGCACGGGCTCACGCACGAGCAGCACTGCGAATGTAGAGCGCAGCGCACGGCATAAAGTAAAGAGGAGTGGACGGCGCAGCGTAGAAGGGGCTGAACATGGGAGGAGACACGGGACACCACTCACCACCGCGTCTTAGAACATCACACGGCTCACGTACGCGCAACGTACGGCGAAACGCAAATCTCAGTCCGCACACCATATCGCGCACGGCACGGACCACTGCATTCGCTAGTGCAGCGCATCCCGCCCTACACCCGGCAGCTGTGCGCCTGGGGCCCCGTCCGGCTCGGCGGAGGCGGTGCCCACCTACCGGGCGTGTTGGGCGGGATGATGGCCGTGCCGTCCAGCAGCAGGTAGATGCCCGCCTGGTACTTCTGCTTCTGCTCCGAGATGGTCAGCTCTACGCCGCTCGTGTCCGGTTTGGGCAGCGGATGTGCGTAATGAATCTGTCCGGCACGAGCCCGCCGGGTCACAGGGGTACACCAGGTCACGGGTTCACATCGGGTCATGGGGTCACATCGGGTCACAGGTTTAAACCGGGTCCCGGGTTCACGCCGGGTGCCAGGCGCAGCATACGTTGGGCATGTCAGCGCCAGCAGGCAGTGATCGGGCTGATGCTGGGAGCGATCCGGGCAGAATGCAGTCAGGTTCCCGGTGACCATGTGGGCGTCAGATGCACATTTCCAAAACATAGAATGCATAATCCCAAGGAATTCCTGGTTATTTTACTTGTCAATGATGAGCGGGAACTTAGTTACCATCAGATTCGCGACAGCACTACGCGACCATGGAACGGCGCCAGAGCCTTGAGCGTACAATAAATCACAGATCCAATTAAAACCACTGAAATGCGGTGGACTTCAACACATTTATAGATAAAACAAGAGGAAAGCCTATGCATTATTAATAAGTTATGATTACAGATTTCGCACGCCACAGCGGCAGCTGATTGTGCACCATGCTCAAGGCTCTGGGCGCTGGTAGTGGTCCGTCCAGACGGAATGCAGTCAGGTTCGTGGTGTACACTGAGTGTGCACTCCTACTGTGGTGCAGATAAATTTGGCATCAGATAAATTTTTAACTCCACGGGGCGTATAAAATGCGTTAGTGAGAAACGCAGCTGCTACAAACAGATGTCAAACCACACACCACTTTCTTGTGTTCGCCCCACAATGAACCACGCAACTTCACCTACCACATCAGTTTTGGTGGTTTGTCAGCCATAACTTGAGGGGCATCAATTGCTGCACCGCGGGTTGCAGCACATAACAATGCCAGCACACGCAGCTGACCTAGCACGCCGCAACTTCAGTCTCGGGGTCGAGCAGATCAACAGGTCATTCCCTCACCCTCGCGATCCGACCCAACAACGCTGGAGTCGGCCCGCCTCCGTCAACGTCGCATCGTTCCTAGGATGGGCGGCTCAGTGAGCCGGGATTTCCTCGGCACCACGCTCAAGGGATTTCCGCGGCTCACGACATCGCCAGCCACGATCGCTGGAAACCGAGGTCCACAGCACCATCCGCCAAACACACTGGACCGTCAAGGTCGGCCGCCTTCCAACTCTTGCCCGCGAAAGCGGCGGCTGCGGCGGAGCCAGGCCAGGCCGATCACGCCGCGACGGCCGCGCTACAGCCGGGCTCAGCCATAATACCACGGCTACCACGGTCACCGGCAGCGCCCAAGCCGGGCCGGCCGCCGCCTGCGGACGGCAGCCGGTGGGTCCAGCGCCGCGGCCCGCCCGCGGCACCGGGCACGATTCAGCACAGCTCACCAGCCGGCGGGTGTCGTCAGCCGCCTCCCGAGAGTTCTGGTCGGGCGGGCGCCGCCAGCGCCAGGACCCTCGGTACTTCCCCACACCGAAACCGGTCCGGTCAGCCCGGCTGGGCAGCCCCCAATCCCAACCCCCCTCGAGTCCGGCGTCGGCCGGTCGAGTCGAGTGCCGAGCTGCCACCGGCGTGACAGAAGGCCCGGCGCGGCCGCAGACATCGCCGATTAATTACGCCAACGGCTGGCGACACCGCGATGCGAACCGGTACGCCCGCAAGGGCCGCCGGCCAGACCGGCTCATCGATCGCCCCGCCGCGTGGCCGGTGCCGAGCTCGCGGAGTGAGACGAGGGGAACCGGACAAAAATCGGCCCTGTGCTGAACCACAGCGGCACGGGAGAACGGGCGCCGAGCAGTCAAGCGCGCCGGATGGCAGGTAACCTTCGTCGTGGACAGCCTTGAATGTCTTAAAGGGTTGCGATCGTTTTATAAGGGGCCCGCGCGACCACGGCGCACGACTGGTGTCGCGCGTTCTTTCCCGACGCACGACACGGCGATACAGCCTGCACACCCCCGGTACCGGTGCGATGCCGGTTACCTGCAGCACTAGGTACGTGTGACCGGTGTTGCCGCCGATTTTGAAGCCCACGTTGTCCGGCAGCTTGGTGGGCGGCGCGTTCTTGGCCCAAGCGTACATCACCTGACTGTTCTTGCAGACGCCGTGGTGGCCGCACTCCCTGGGGGTCAGGTCAGGTCAGTTCAAGTCGAGTGGTGACCTGATTGCTCAAGCAGGCCAGGTCGGCACTGCCTGAGAACGTAACGTCAGGTCAGGTCAGGTCCGCGGTCAGCTATCCTCTCGCAGCTGACAGACCGCTGGCATTTGTACGCTCGGGAAATGACGAGGCGTCGTCAAGATCATGGTGTTCGGCTACTGTTTTATCGGGTCGGACGAACGCGTCCATTGTTGGGAATGGCTCGAAACCCGGGGGGTCATCACTAGCGCTTTCATATAGCTCGTATGTTTGGAACAATGCTTGGCGAATATCACGCAAATAGTTTGATACAAAATGTATGACACTGTCCAATAGACCAGTGGCTTTACCCCCACAAACCACAAAAATGGCACGGTGACGTGTATGAATCGACGAATGCGGCACTGAGCATACCCGTCGACATGATCAAGGTCAATGTGAACTAGGATAAGGCGTCACCACGATCGGTGAAGACCGGGTCAACACCTTCCGCGCCGAGGATCGAACCGCACATCCAACAGCGTCTCATGCCGCTGCCCATCAGCCCGCGCCAATCCGCGTCACTAGCGTGACGCCGCAACATCACACACAGAACCGGAACAAAAGACAATGCACGCGCTGCGAACGACGAACAAACGCGATACGCTGCCTAGTCATAACCCGGTGCCATGACCGGCCTGTCTGGCTCGACAGGTGGCCTTTGGTGACGGCTCGTGTGGCGTCGGGTAATGGGGCGCGCACAGCTGCTGGCTGAGGCCGCACATCCACCGAAAAAGCTGTTACCACAGGTGGTGGCCGCCTGCCTGCGGTGACCCGCCTACCGGCCCACAGCTGGCTGCACTGATGTTCGACTGATCCACCCGGGGGTGCAGTCAGAAACGGCCGGCGTGCGCCCGGGGTTCGCGCTGGGGCCTTACTGCTAGTTAGTTGATAATAATGATTGGGGGTTCACGTTTCACCGACCGCCACGGCCATTTGAGACGAGTCACGCGGGATGCAGTGGTGGCGTGGCACGACACGTGACTGGAACTCAAGATCGCTAGGCCCAAAGCAAAGCACCCCAATCACTACACCACTACGCCGCCGACTGCTGAAGTCATTTTGCGGCACGTACTGACATTGGCATTGATCTCCATAGCACCAGACCGGAAGGAAATCTATTCAGTGTTCAATGTTTGCTTAAAGACACGTTACAAGGTTTTGTAGGTTTCCGGTAATCTCGCGCGATACCCTCACGGAGGGCATAAGCCACTATGGGTAAATCCCAGAGGTTGCACGTGGTGGGTAAGGAGTCAGTGCTAATCGTATTGGCTCAGAACGAGCCAATACGACAGCCGTCCCCAGCAGTTCGCAGCAGCGTCCGCCACGTTAAAACTGTTCATCGGCGACGAACCAGCCGTGGTCAGCAGTCACCCACGGCAGTCATTAAGCGTGACGGCCAATGCCAAAGAACCAGCGCTGGACCTCGAGCCGGGCCACACCCAGACAGTGCTACACACAGCCGGAGGCACCAGAACAGGCAGTACAATGGCGATGAGAAGCATTCGACATTGCCGATAATGTCACAAATTTGTCATGAGAGATGGCGATGCATCTCGTAGCATTCCAGTCAGCTCCTTCAACACTGCGCCTGAGTGCAGATAATCTGCTTCCCCATTATGATGCCTCAGCTGGCCATATGGTGCGGTAGACAAGCCCACCGTCGCATATGAGGCAACGATCGTCATTTTGCGCAGAGTGCACATCTCGCCCGCACTTATTCATGCCACCCGAACCACTCCCAGCAGCCGACCACCCATCGCCGCATGGCCAATCGACCCACTCAGCCACACAAATAACCACCGGTCGCATCCCCCACGGGTAAAGCATCGACCGCCGCCCAACCGGCCGCCGCAGGACACCAGCTCCCGCGCCGCCGCCACCGCCGCCGCGCGGTGGATAGCCGACCGCCTCAGCCGGCGGTCGGCGTCGCCGCGTCGCACTCACCACATGCCAGCCTGCTCCTGCTCGTCCGTCAGGCCCTCGCACTGGAACAACAGCATGTGGTGGGCCGTGTCCGCGTCGGAGAGCGCCCGGTACTGCGTCACCCAGACGACGCCGTCGGTGCCCGTCAGTTGGGATACCGACATGCCGGCGCACACGTAGGCGTCGTTCTGTAACGAGACGCGGGTCAGGTGTCTGCGGGCACTGCGGGTCACGCGGGGTCGGGGTGAGTTATTGGTGCAGCTGGGCGTGTAGATGCCGCCACAGAGGAACAACGGCTTCGGACATCGTCCATACATTGAATGTAGTGTTCCTCTTTGTCCCAAGCGAGCACACAATGCGCCTATGTACCCGTGAGCCAATCACTCAAGTCCGGCTCGTTTTAGTGGTTTTCCGACTCGGCCAGATAACGCCAATCCCCTGGCGTCAGTGTAGTGCCTCTCCCCACGTGCTGTGCTGCCGTCTTTCCCCTGGGCGGTCGAGTCGCTGTCAGGTGTCGGGCAGGCGGCTCGTGGTCGGCGCTCAGGGCCGCCGCCAGGGCCCGCGGGCCGTTCTACTGCGTCGCACCGGGCCGTGGCCGGGCGCTCGTCACGAGCCGCGGGGATTGAGGTTCTGGTCTAGAGGTCTCAGAAGTCTGGAATTTCCGACGGCGTGGCTCGGTCGAGGAAAAAGCTGCACGGACGGAGCTCGAGACTACAAGCAGCTCCCGGGTACGAAGTCGGCCTGATAGATCACCGTCAACCCGGCAGACGACCGTCAGCCCGGCAGACGACTGTCAGCCCGGCAGACGACCAGCCCGGCAGACGACCGTCAGCCCGGCAGACGACCGTCAGTCTGGCAGACGACCATCAGCCCGGCAGACGACCGTCAGCCCGGCAGACGACCGTTAGCCCGGCAGACGACCGTCAGCCCGGCAGACGACCGTTAGCCCTGCAGACGACCGTCAGCCCGGCAGACGACCGTCATGTAAATAATGACAATTGCTTTGACGACGTGTTCAGACATGCCAAAATACGTCAACTTGGAACGCAGATAGCGAACTTAGGAGGGACCGTCAACAATCAGGATCCTAGCCGTTAACCATGGACTGATGAAAGAAGTGGTGTTAGCACTCACTTGTAGCCCTAGAAACAAAGATGTGCATTGCGATGGTGGCTGAATTACGATAGCATGCCATTGGACGGCCGGCGAAATGGGGATGTATAGTTTAACATTGGCGTGGTCGTGAATTCTTGGTTCCAAGATGGGCATTAAACGGCAAGATTTGCATTCGAACTCCCATAAAAACAAACAAAAAAGCAACATGTTTACTCGAGCTCTTACATGTAAAACAGTCACACAGTGCCGTCGAGCACTTCGCCGACACCTATGACAACGCGAGCATTGGCAACTTCTGACCGCTTACAAGATGGTGACGAATGCATCACAGCTGCCGCTACGGATCATCTCTTTGGACCGAAAGTTTGGGAGCCATCCTCATACCACAAGACTAAAACACTTTCCACATCCACTCCGAATGACATCCGGATGTTTTGTCTGGGTGCTACTCTTCCATCCGACGATGTATCAGTAACGTCACGGACCTAACAAAGGCTCCCACACTCCACCAAGCCCTGGGAGGTCCAACTCGTTGGCCAGCTCAACCCAGCCTGTCGAAATGTCAACTTCGACATTTGCCGGTACGCCTACCGGCCGCTAATCGGGGCTTCGACGAGGGGAGAGGAGGGGAGGGGAGGGGAGGGAGACAGCCAGAGGTCGGCCGGATGGCTGACGCAACGTCGTTGTGCCGACCGCGGCGGAGGCGCCGCTGCTCTCTGCCGGCTCTGCAGGACGCTTCCCGCCGGCGGCGGCTGGCAACGCAGGTTGAAGCGGCCGATCGGCACGCCAGGCCCGCGTCCATGCGAGAGTGTACCGCTGAACGAGCATGCGCATACAGCGGGCGCTGGGGGCCGCGAATGAAGGGCCTGCTCTTTGTAAAACTGAGGTCGGATTTTCTACATGTGTCGCTGGTGTTGTAACCTCTCCGGTTGAATGAAGCACACCGTCAGCTGGAGATTCACGCGATGAGGGCGGGTCTACAAAAAAAACGACAAAAAACAGGCAACATACGCTGACAATGTGCCCCTTGACGCCCAACGGGCCACGCACACGAAATAGCGTAACACCGAAAGGAATATGTGAACGATAGGAAAGACGAAGACAAAGATTACTAGAGCAAGCGCATGCAAGGGAAGTGTCAAGTGCAGCCACTAAACTACTGAGATCAACCACCGCCGACACAAGGGAGCGGACAAGAGAGACGCCCAACACGCCAGAAGAGTATCCGGGATAGTGAGGGCTGGAGGAGAGCCGACGAGCAAGCGCGCGGCGGCCGCTGCCGCCGCCTACACGGCGCTCGCCTCAGAGCGGCAGGCGGGTCAACGACCCGGCGCCAGCTAGCAGTGGAGCGGCAGCGCCTACGGGCGGGCGCGAGATCTCTGCCGGCGCAGCGGGGTCATTACGGAGCGCTGTGGCCCCAGCCGGGCGGCCCGCGCCGGTCCCGGGCCGCCGCGGCGCCTGTCCGCCCGCCCCTGCGGTCAATGTCGCGATCAATAACAATCTCCTCCAAATGGCACAGCTGGGGTGTTGTCACATCCGGGTGTAAACCCCGAACGTGCACGCAAACATGCACCTGCCCAAACAGATACGATAACACAGTGCAGTCCAAGCCTCGTAGCGCCGATATTACCGCACATGGAGCGCAAGTGCACTTGAGCGGCGGAACGGCCCTGCCTTAAAGACCGCCGTGAAATACGATCTCTTAAGGAAAAGACAGGCTGGCGCAGGGTAAGCACGCTTGCTGCTATCAGCGACCACGGGAAATACTTTTATTTCCGTCCCTGACTGGATTGACTCAGACGGTGTCACACCGTCGTTGAGCGAAGTTTGGCTGCACAGAACGGCTTAGGCCTAATCCCAAAGCGTGTGGTCCACTTGCGTGCGCCCATCTATTGATTTCGATTCCTAATGTGTCGAAGGAGGACACGAAGCGAAGGTAATACGCGTGCAGTTGGCGAGCCCCGAAAGTCGCCTGCTGGACTGCTCGATATGTCAACACCAACCAGGCATTGAGCCGAAGCCGGTTTCAGCTTCGGCTTTGAACCATTTTCCCCTGCCAGATTCGGTATAAACTTAGGCTTTGTGCCAATTTAAATGGTTGGCTTCGCTTTTCTGGCGTTTTAACAGACCGGATCCGCTTCGGCTTAGGCTTGGACTTCAAAGGTGACTTCATAGCTTCAGCCTCAACTCCGTGTTAAAAAAATGTTTCGGCTTTGTTGTGTTGATTGTTTTCTGCGCTTTTGGTCTTACTCTGTGAGAGCAGCCTTGTCTGCCCAGTTCCCCCAATATACCACACAACTTTTCAAGGCCGGAACACAATGATGGCTAAAAGCCAAGATCGGCCGATCATTCTTCGGACCAGATGATACCTGGCGACAGCCGGCCACCTATCTGTGCGAAATATTGCGTATACGCTTACAAAAAAAGACGAAGACGATGGTCTTAAAGAATTTCTCTCACGTTAACACCCTGTGACAGCCATGCCGCACAACCCTTGTGATAAGTGTTCTAGGATTGCCGACTTTGGGTGTAAAGCCCTATGAGGAAGAATTTTTCACTCTTTTCCCCATATTATATGTGAATTTTTCACTCCTGCATGACGTTGCCTAATCGCACATGCCAAACTCATATTTCCCTTTCTGAGGTCTTCAGATGTCATCCAAAACCGAGCTCACTTGAAACCACCAAGCATGAACGACGCTCCACAGAACTTGGACACCCATGACTATGTCCTGCCTCACGTACATTTGAATCATGTCTATGTATGCGCAGTGCAAGGGCGCCAGGTACCTTCAAGCCCAAGAACTCCGGCAACTCCAGCCGCTTGCACGCATCAAGTTTTGTTTGTTTACAAAATGCACCACAATCGGCAGCTGTGTGCCAAATGCACGGTTTTCACGCATCCCCTTTTTTGTCTAACCACCGCACCATGAAAGCAGAGCCTGGTGCAAACACCAGTAAGCGCTGGCAGAAAATTTTACTCCACGTATTTATTTTACCCCAAGAACCTTGACCACTAACTTGCATCACTCCCGAAATTCAGGAGTGAAAAATTCAAGAAATGTCTTCTAACTGAAATTTGCAAGATGAACATCACCATTTCAGCACTCATGTTAAAATACTTAAAGTCAAATCAGCTGATTACAAAATTTTGACAAAAAATGTCAGTCTTTATATACGTGCAATTACTTTTGCTTTTCTTGGTATCTTACGAGTGTGATACCACTTAATTCTTCCTTCCTTTCCGATTGCCTCGCTCGCACGCACGCACGCACGCACGCACATACACACACACACACACACACACACACACACACACACACACACACACACACACACACACACACACACATACACACACACACGCACGCACGCACGCACGCACGCACGCACGCACGCACGCACGCACGCGCACGCACACGCACACGCACACGCACACGCACACGCACACGCACACGCGCACGCGCACGCGCACGCGCACGCGCACGCGCACGCACACGCATATATATATATATATTAGGTCTGGCTTTGGTTTCGACCTCGTGACTTTGAGATGATGGTGGTTTGGCTTTGGTTTCGCAATTCCTAAGCACAAATTCCTAGTTTCGGCTCTGCATGTACCAAGCTCAAAGCCACTGGCTTCGGACTCGGCTTCACGTTTTAAAACCACAAAGCCATCGCCTTGGGCTTTGCAGTCTCAAGTTTCCAAGCCATAGGCTTCAGCTTTGAGTTCAGCTTCAAGTAATTGTCTCGGCTTCGAATTCAGCTTCGAAACCAGAAGCCTATACTAACTTAGCTTCGTCTTTATGTCTGGTCTTAACTAAGCCTAAAACTCGGTCCAACTTACTTCTCTACGCCCGGTCCCAAGTTGGGCCAAAGCTATCCCGACTTTGAACTCTCTGCCTGGTCCAAAAATAATCTAAAACTCGGTCCCAGATTCAAATTCTGTCAGATCGGAACACTCAGCTTTATGCAACCTTTTAATCGGTACTAACGAAGGCGTACATAACCAAACAGCATTTGGCACGACCAGTGCCAAAGGCTGCCAGGTTGTGCACGCCTTTGACAGCTTCGTGAAGTGCATTACTAAGCACAGGGCTTGGCAACAGGACACAAATGAAGATAAAAAAGACGAAAACAGTAATGACTGGTATGAGCGCCAATAATTTCTGGGAGATGGGTGCCTGAGTGTGTTGAAAGATTCCGAACGAAACAAAAAAAGACCCAAACGTACACTGAATGCCTTTATACATCCTTCCATGTACCGCACAAACCGACCACATAAAGGCACCTTCAGCGCGAATGGCACTCCACGGTCGTCAACCTACTGGCCGGGCAGCGACTTTGAGGGCCTTCCCGCGCGCCCCAAGGCCGGACGGCGGGCGCCGCTCGGGGCGATCCACACATGCGCACCAGTGATGCCCTGAGAGATCTCGCCGAAATAAGCCCGCATCACCTAACAACGAGCGACTGCTCCTCAACCGAGGGTGTCACGCGTCACACGGCGCGTTCCCGTGTCCGGGTCGCCGTCCAGTCCGGTGCGGGGCAAGGCAGGGCAGCCGGACCCGACCCGTCGGCGCCCGGACCGGAAGTCACCGCGCCAGCCCTGGCCCCGATATGACGAGAGGCCGCGCCGCGCCAGGGGTGCCGCCCGGCGTCCCGCGGTCCGGGTGCAGGTGCGCGGCAGGGACCAGCGGCCGACGCTGCGCCAGTGATGGCGTCTCGTCGCCCGGCCAGAGGCCGCAGGGCTAAGGGAGGGGGGGGGGGGGGGGGCAGCGGTGGCATACCGGCCGGAAATACCATGACGAATAGGAGCACATGGCCTACTGCAATGGAAATTGCAATGACTATCAGTAACACACCCGATATACTGATGGGTGACCCGTGCAATATGTCCGCGAATTTCAGCTTAACACACTAGTAGGCGGCATCGCAATTTCGGACGATGCGAATAAACAAAAAGAATCCATTTCGCAAAAATAGGCATCTTTGCAGCCTGCTACAGAGTGTGACCGCGCAGGTCCATAGGTGGCATCCCATCCCGGAATGTTTCATTCATATGCGCATGGGGCTTGTGTGACGATCGATGTCGCTCCGTACTGCAAGCGAGTCCTTAACGGTTTGTTCCAAAAAGCTGCAGTTTTTTAAGACACCACACTTAAACGGATACAAAGAAAGTTTCACTACAGACATCGGAGTTCGGAAGTGGAACATACCACGTGCACATGCATAAGAGCACCTTTAAAAAGAAAAAAAGAGAAAAAAAACGCGGGGGTATCGCCTCAGAAGTGTTTGCTCGCAGTGCAACGGGAGACCGTGCGGCAGCCACACGACATTGCGGACCAACAAGAAGCATCAAAACACCGACAACTGCCAAGCTTGACGCCATACGACTCTAGCCAACAACGGGAGACAACCAGCGGATCTTTGGGAATCGGACCAGCCTATTACTAGCAATGCGTGCTGCATTTGTGCCAAACATGTCAAGACATCGGGTCTGTCTAGTTACATGGTTGGGCGATACCACGGTAACAGACATTAGCGAGTGTCCCGCCGTCGGGATTCGCCCTCCCCCCCCCCCCCCCCCTCACCTCATCTCCCCAGGCACTAGGTATTCATAGGTTAACTGTTCTTTTGTTATTTAGCAATATGTGCTGTCAGGTGCAATGGCTGCACTGACTGTTCATCTACTTGCTGTGTTGTTGATAAGCTTATTGGCCCCACATACTGCACATACCTTTCATCACATACTATACAATGTTATATTTTTAATATAGCTACACAAGCACACACATGGAGGGTGGCCAGCATTACCACTGACTTGTTTTGAGATCAGCTTTTCCATACACCAAATTTCCAGAAAAGGTCCTCACAAACTGCACCAAAGACACTCCACAGATGAAGAGTAAATATTTATTTTTAAACCACTTAACAATGAGGCCATGCAAACACTGAGGATACCTTTGAATTTGCTCTGGTGACTTTTGGTATACATATGGATCAGATCAGGATGCTAGGGAAAATGGGGAGGACAACCTGCACATGTGAGTATGAATATGCATGCCAAGTTTCATAACTAACCAGCCAACTTATCCATCCAAACTCACTCATAACACATTGCAACTCATAATGGTGATGGTCAATGTCGATCTAGTAGAGACAATGAATTAAACATCTTTTCACAATTCTAAACATGTGTTGGGTTGTCGAGATTAAAACCCCCATGCCATTATGCACTATCACCTGTACACTATAATTATAATGTATGTAATATTTGCCAAGTTTCATTCTTTCACCAAATCACAACACTCTTGCGTCCAAATTTGCCAAACCGCAATGATTTAACCTTTTACAAAACTTACCTGCATTGGTTGGTATGGTGGCATATGCAGCTCAACTGTCTGTGAGCCTGCATTGCTACTGCCAGGCTCTCCATGGGTGTGAAGCCTGTGCCCACTGACAGATCCTGCTGCCAGTAGCACCAGAGCCAGTACCAGTTTGTAAGAGCTGGTCATGACACCTGCAAATGCCGGGGCATGGACGGGCATGCCAATACATTAATGAAACTATGCAGGGGTAGAAAGTGCTGTCGGGGGATAAGGCGGCTGGCATATAATAAGAATGCATATTGTATCTGAATGCACATGGGAAAATAAATCTGGTTAATTAGCAGATATCTAGATACTTGGAATATCTGGCAATAAAGTACCATTGTATTTTCCCTTTTTGGAGGTTGGGCTGTTATCTTAAGCCACACATCAAATAACTGTGACCACACATAACTAAACAATAATGCATGCTTAATGACATCACCACTGCCATACTTTCTTCAAGGTTTGCGGGCATATTATAGAATAAATGACAAATGGTGGCATTTTGATAGCTAATAGGCTTACCATTGTCATCAGAAGTGTAAGCATAGGCATTGAAGTGTTTTGTGAACTAGTGTACAATGGTGTAAAATATAATACTGCCACAGGTAATCTAGACCAGTCTTAAAAATGATCCAGATTTTATCAACATATTCATAATGGTTAATGCAGCTGGACTTAAAACCATGTGCATGCTGTCCATAAGACCAATGTCTACCATCTAAGGCAGAGCAAAGCTGTAACAGTGTGAATGCTTATCAAAATGAAGGTCTCAATATCCTTTATACACAGTTTAAGACAAACACAATAAAACATAAAGCCAGCAAGTCTGGGGAAATGCCTATGGTAAATTTTGAGAATAGTTAAGCTGACAGGCAATGTGTGATTCAATTTCAATGAAATTTACATCCCATTTAGAACTGTTGCCTTGTCAACACCACCAAAGGAAAGTATAACAACTCAAGAACTTAGCAAGATTCAATGTTAGGCAGAAAGGTGCTACACATGAAGAAATGTCTGCAAGGCATTGCTGCAAGACCCTTCTCCCTTCCCTATGGCCCATAACACCTTAGTCCACCCCAGGCTGGAAGTGAGCATCTTCCTGAGCAACGATAGGGTATTCAGTTGATGCATACATACATATCATACATTACATACATATACACCATACATATTAAAATGCAATGCATTGACAACACGGTTTCAAGTTCTTCGACGGCCCGTGAGGATAAGGCGGGTAATTACTCACCGGCCAGATGTCCTCGCAAAACTTCTATAGCGCAGGGAAAAACGGGATGCGCGAGCGATTTCGCTTAAAAATATGTGATGCAACCCATTTATTCATACGACCACCCACACCCTCACACACCTCAACACACGACGAAACAGTCGCGAACCGCGTCAAGAACTGCGTAAATTTACAGTCTGTGAGTGGAAACAATAGCAAGGTTGAGAAATCATATGGTAGCACTACATCAAGACTATTACCAGCTCGAGGGTTTTACGCATTTATGGTGCAACCACGCATCGCTGGTATTCGGTTGATGCACACCACAATATCATACATGTTGCAGTGCAATGCATTACGATAACACGGTTCTAAGAGTTCTAGACCTTATCTATTCCAACCCGTCCTCGAGCCTAGTTAGTACCGACTCTTACTAAGAAGGGAACCGTGTTTAGTACCGATTCGTTCTAAAACTGGCGGAGTTTAGCACGCAGGGAGACTAAACAACGCTGTCGGGTAGCCCAGGGCCCAACAGCGGAAATGAGGCTATTTTAGAGGTGAACCTCGTGAATTTCTTTTCGTTCTATGGGAGTGCAAAGCCTTCACCATTTCGGTATCCCAATTCTCATTTGATTGCAAGTTGCCTCAAAGACGCAGTCGGCCGATTGTTGGTGAGTGGGGAACGTGGACAAGCGGTAAGGAAACGTGCCCGGGGAAACACTTGCACCTAATTAACAACACAGCATTTTCTACGGGTAAGTATGATATTGATATATCACGAACCACAGGCCTTGGGGTATATCGTCTTGCGGGTAGTGCAGATGATGGAACATGGGTCTCGGGCTGTAGTGGTTTGCGTTAGGCATGGGTTTGGCTCAAATTTCTCGAGTCACGTAAGGAATGGCTCATAGAATTTGGACCTGATTTAGCTCATGACTCATTCCTGTTATACTTTTCATTTGACTTAGTTCAAATGCAGTACTTTCATTGAGTCATTTGACTCATAACTGATGCAGGCTGTTTTACAGCCTGCATAATAGCTTGCATAATAATAGTTTTACAGCCTGTAAATAGTTCTCAGCTGAGATTTGGGAGATTCCAGGATCAACATTGCGATGTTTGCTGCATAGAAATAACAAACTCATGATGCCGTGTAAAAAGTTGTGATTATTGGTACATGGTGTTCATTTTAACTCCCTGAAATTGTATGTTAATTTGCCTAGAACACAATATATTTCCTCATCCTGCCAACCAAGTTCAGCCGTATGACTCACTAGCTTACTGATCCAACATTGTTGGAAATGATTGGCTCATGATTCAGCTCATGAAATGTGTGGCAAATACAATTCATGGCCGCGTTTCATTTCAACTACTGTGTTATTGGTAGACGAACACAAACCCCGCCCACTCGAATGATAGGCTGTTTCATACCAGCTACTGACTATTGGAAAGCGTTACATCAGCTGCCCGCTGTGACCATCAAATTTGGGAGAAAAAAAAAGTTTGTGAGTGGGCGACAGCGCGACCGCGGTCAAAAAGCTCTTAGATAAATATATAAGTAACGGGAAAGATCTTGTGTGCTTGTCATTCATACCTCAAAAACATACACGGGAATGGAAGCATTTATGTTTGATGAATTACAGAGAGAAATTGACCCAGTGCTTCCATTAGGCGACAACCCACTTGAAGTCATCCATTACCGCAATCTAGATGGGCGAGTTGCATCAGACATGATAAATGATAATGCCAGGGGTGCAGTTTCGGAAAATACTTTCCCACTTTCCATCAAACTTGAGGGGAGATGAAGCCCAAGTTGGGGTGGGTGGGCTGAAGCCCCTCCCCCCTCCCCACAGCTGAATAGGAGCTGCACCCTTGGATTAGGATTTGATTAACTCTAAGCCATGCACTTTTCTGTTCTGGACAAGCTTGTGTGATAACATTGGGTGATGAGAATGTCCATTGGCTTTTGCCTAAAATATTGAACATGGTGTTTATGTTGGTGATACCTTCCTGACGCTTTCCTGGCATGTGTCTGCGGACCTTACCTGTTCCTGCTGGTGTTAATTTTCCAATCTAACAACACTCCACATGTTGCAGGGAAGTTTGGGACCAAGGAGCTTGGAAAAATGAAGACTTTTATGAAAAACAGCGCCACTACTAACGGACGAGCAGTACGCTGAACAGTTCAGGCTGAAGAGAAGCACGGTCAGAAGGATTGTTGGACTCTTGGGTGAAAGGATGAGAATCCCTCTGGACAGGGGCGGGAACCTTATCCCAGAGAGAAGGCAAGTACTCCTCAGTCTTTGGTACCTGGGAAGCATCATCAGCTTCAGAAAAGTGGCAATGCTCTTTGGTTTGGCAACATGCACTGCCTGGAGGTTTGTGGAGGAAGTTATTGAAGACCTGATTGCAATGAGGGATTTGTTTATCAACATACCCCCTTTGGAAAGCATGGCACGAGTAATGGAGGGTTCAGGTCGTTGAAGGGGGTCCCCAATGTGTGTGGTGCTCTGGATGGGTGTCATATAGGAATACTACAGCCTCATAATCATCCTGAGGCATATATCAACATAAAGGGCTTCTTCTCAGTTAATCTGATGGCCCTCTGTGATTAATCCCACAAGTTCGTGGACATCTGTGTGGGGTGGCCAGGGTCAGTTCATGACTCGCGTGTGTTTAGAAAGAGTACCCTGGGTAAGAGGCTGGCAGACCCCACCACTAGACATGCAATCCTGCCACAAAATGGTTTCATTGTTGGTGATTCTGCCTTTGAACTACAGAGATGGCTCATGACACCATTTCGGGAAAATCAACAGGCAGAAAATAGGGAAAAGAAAAAGAAGTACAACTATCTGATCTCAAGCACACGTGTGGTAGTAGAGAAAACCTTTGGCATTCTGTAGGTAAGATTTTGGCGTCCCCCCTGTGTGGAAGCTCAATCAGTTCAGAAAGCTGCGAAAGCTCATAGTGGCGGCCTGTGTAATTCACAACATTTCACTTCAAGAGCATGACTTTTGGAAGGAGGATGGTGAAAATGAGGTTACTGAAGGCGTATATGCCGATGTAGAGATGCGACTGAGAGCTGGAGTACTGCGGGAGCATACAAATCCGGTACTCGTTGAACCATCCGCTGTCGTGGTGCGTAATGAGCTAGTGGAAAGGCTTTGGGTGCTGTAGCAAGGCTGATGGTGCTGCTGGATGATCACTGGCTGTGTTGCAGTGTCTATGGTATTTCCGTTATGGTGTCCACTGTAGGTCAGCGTGATGTAGATTTTGCAATGCTGTGGAGGTCTGAAGGGCAGTGAACGAAGTGCTTTTTGCTGGCAGGAAATACAACATTTGTGTGATCTTTGTGTATTCCAAAAGTTCTTACAGCAGTGACTGAAACTGCTTCCAAGTGAAATGTTTCAGTGAGAACAGGAGTCATCCAGAGACATGTTAGAGTACAGTTCTCTGAGGGCACATATATGCACACACATTGATGACTGGAGTTAAGACATTGCATGAGCATTAGAAGCACATCATATTCATATCACCTTGTACCACAACTCGCTCCTTTCTGTGTTAAAAAGGCTTCACCTTTGTTGGGACACATGCAAAGCTTATTGCACAGCCATCCAGCCGATGCTTTAAATAATAAAGGGCACTGCATGAACACCATGTTTGCACGATGCTGGGATCCTGGCTAAATGTCATGCCCTCGACAGGTCTTAAAAACAAAATCTGATCTGAACTTTTCCACAGAAAATACAGCTAAAACACTTCACTTCTTGGTGTTGGCTTCCATCACATCCACCGATCGGGCGAGTAGCTCTAGCCTTTTCTCTTCAGCAGCAACCCTTCTCTGTTCTATAGTCAGCCTGTGCCTCTCAAGATCATTCCTCTCCATCAGGTATTCGCCAATGCTGGCCTCCTTGAAGCGCCTCTTCCGCTCACGGTGGCCACGGCCCTGATCTCCACTGCTACTGATATCACTTCCTCCAGATATCTGCCATGTCGGGTAACACACGTCACACAGGTCACTGAACTGATCCACTATGACCTCGTGCTCTGAGTACCTACTGGGTCAGATGGCACATGTCACATGACAGACCTCACTGCCACCTCATGTGCAAGGTACCTGCCACATCACATCATGTAGGCCTGTGGACTGACACTAATGCAGAATCATGCTCCTGGTACCTGTCCTGTCACCTGTCACCTGTCACCTGGTACCTGCCACATCACAGGTCACCAAACTGACACTCATATTGTCTCACGCTCCAGGTACCTGCAGATCATGTCACACACATCACCAGGCTGAAGACACCATGGTCTAGTGGTGTTGGTGCCTGCTGAGTCAGGTCAGGTCACAGATGCATGCTTGCAAAAAAAGAACAAATCACTTTTGCTAAGCTGCAATGCTATTACAAGAGGGAGAAAAGACAACCAAACATTCAGTAAGTGAGGAAGAAACATGGGAATCAGGAAAAAAAAGTAAGACCACCAAGTACTCCCCATCATAAAATAATCTCTGGATGATATATATATATATATATATATATATATATATATAATATTTCTCCCCTGGATGGTCACACTCTGGTCCACACTGTCCTTAGAACAGCCTCCTGCAATTTTCTGCTCCTCCGCATCCTTGCCCATGTTGCCTGTCACGTTGCAAGACTCAGTGTCATAGTGAGGCACAATCTTTGGGTTTGCACCTAGGAATCTTTCCGTAACAGTGAAGTGCTTCATCTTTTCCACGGCACCCCTCGCAGTTTTCTTCTTGCCTGCATTGTCCTTGATGCGTTTGTATGCCTGCATGAGGGCATTCCACTTAATCCTTACTTGTTCTGGTGCCCCCTAACTACTCTGCTACCTCCAGCCAAAAATGTTTCTTTTGCTTTGGCAGCATTTTGTTGAATCTTCCTCAGTTTTCCTCCATTATTGTCACAAGAAGGAAACACCTCTCGTCAGTCCACTTCCCTCCTTCCGCCCTTGTGCAGAAAGGGGAATGTGCATCCAGCTCTTCGATGTGCTTGAATGATACCCCACATGTTTGACATTTGTGGGGAGGCACACGTAATCCTTGGTCTCCCTGGTTACATGCTAACAGGTGGACTTCTGCCTCCCGACGGCTAGCAAATGTCTGAGCGCAGTGTCCACACTAGAATGGCTGGGCGTCTGCCGTACACTGCAGCAGGTGTTTCTCTCCTTCATCCT